CTTTTTGGCGATGCCTCTATGGCCAGGGCTAGCTGATGCTTTCGCCGCCGGCCGGGCTCCTTCCGGACACTAGAGGCTGATGCTCATGATGCCGTTGTTTTGGGTGGTGATGCCTTCCAGGCCAGGGCCAGCTAATGCCCATGATGCTGTCGGCGTGTTCTTGGCTTTTGGCGATGCCTTTAAGGCCAGGGCCAGCTGATGCTCATGATGCTCTCGCCGCGGGCCGGGCTCCCTCCGGACACTAGTGGCTGATGCTCGTGATGCCGTTGTTTTGGGTGGCGATGCCTTCCAGGCCAGGGCCAGCTAAATTCCGAGGATGCTCTCGGCGTGGCCTTGGCTTTTGGCGATGCTTTTAAGGCCAGGGCCTAGCTGATGCTCATGATGCTCTCGCCGCGGGCCGGGCTCCTTCCGGACACTAGTGGCTGATGCTCACGATGCCGTTGTTTTGGGTGGTGATGCCTTCCAGGCCAGGGCCAGCTAATGCCCATGAAGCTCTCGACGTGGCCTTGGCTTTTGGAGATGCCTTTAAGGCCAGGGCCAGCTGATGCTCATGATGCTCCCGCCGCGGGCCGGGCTCCTTCCGGACACACTAGTGGCTGATGCTCATGATGCGTTGTTTGGGTGGTGATGCTGGCCAGGGCAGCAATGCCCATAATGCTCTCGCGTGGCCTGGTTTTGGTGATGCCTTAGGCCAGGGCCAGCTGATGTTTCCGTTGTTTTGGGTGGTGATGCTTCCAGGCCAGGGCCAGCTAATGCCCATGATGCTCTCGGCGTGGCCTTGGTTTTTGGCGATGCCTTTAGGCCAGGGCCAGCTGATCCATGATGCTCTCGCCGCGGGCCGGGCTCCTTCGTCGTGTCCTTGGCTTTTGGCGATGCCTTTAAGGCCAGGGCCAGCTGTGCTCATGATGCTCTCGCCGCGGGCCGGGCTCCTTCCGGACACTAGTGGCTTGATGCTCATGATGCCGTTGTTTTGGGTGGTGATGCCTTCCAGGGGGCCAGCTAATGCCCATGATGCTCTCGGCGTGGCCTTGGTTTTTGGCGATGCCTTTAAGGCCAGGGCCAGCTGATGCTCATGATGCTCTCGCCGCGGGCCGGGCTCCTTCCGGACACTAGTGGCTGATGCTCATGATGCCGTTGTTTTGGGTGGTGATGCCTTCCAGGCCAGGGCCAGCTAATGCCCATGATGCTGTCGGCGTGGCCTTGGCTTTTGGCGATGCCTTAAGGCCAGGCCAGCTGATGCTCATGATGCTCTCGCCGCGGGCCGGGCTCCTTCCGGACACTAGTGGCTGATGCTCATGATGCCGTTGTTTTGGGTGGTGATGCCTTCCAGGCCAGGCCAGCTAATGTCCATGATGCTCTCGGCGTGGCCTTGGCTTTTTGGCGATGCCTTAAGGCCAGGGCCAGCTGATGCTCATGATGCCGCGCCGGGCTCCTTCCGGACACTAGTGGCTGATGCTCATGATGCCGTTGTTTTGGGTGGTGATGCCTTCCAGGCCAGGGCCAGCTAATGTCCATGATGCTCTCGGCGTGGCCTTGGCTTTTGGTGATGCCTTTAAGGCCAGGGCTAGCTGATGCTCATGATGCTCTCGCCACGGGCCGGGCTCCTTCCGGACACTAGTGGCTGATGCTCATGATGCCGTTGTTTTGGGTGGTGATGCCTTTCAGGGGCCAGCTAATGCCCATGATGCTCTCGGCGTGGCCTTGGTTTTTGGCGATGCCTTTAAGGCCAGGGCCAGCTGATGCTCATGATGCTCTCGCCGCGGGCCGGGCTCCTTCGGACACTAGTGGCTGATGCTCATGATGCCGTTGTTTTGGGTGGTGATGCCTTCCAGGCCAGGGCCAGCTAATGCACATGATGCTCTCGGCGCGGGCTTGGCTTTTGGCGATGCCTTTAAGGCCAGGGCCAGCTGATGCTCATGATGCCGTTGTTTTGGGTGGTGATGCCTTCCAGGCCAGGGCCAGCTAATGCCCATGATGCTCATGATGCCGTTGTTTTGGGTGGTGATGCCTTCCAGGCCAGGGCCAGCTAATGCCCATGATGCTCTCGGCGTGGCCTTGGCTTTTGGCGATGCCTTTAAGGCCAGGGCCAGCTGATGCTCATGATGCTCTCGCCGCGGGCCGGGCTCCTTCCGGACACTAGTGGCTGATGCTCATGATGCCGTTGTTTTGGGTGGTGATGCCTTCCAGGCCAGGGCCAGCTAATGTCCATGATGCTCTCGTCGTGTCCTTGGCTTTTGGCGATGCCTTTAAGGCCAGGGCCAGCTGATGCTCATGATGCTCTCGCCGCGGGCCGGGCTCCTTCCGGACACTAGTGGCTGATGCTCATGATGCCGTTGTTTCGGGTGGTGATGCCTTCCAGGCCAGGGCCAGCTAATGCCCATGATGCTCTCGGCGTGGCCTTGGCTTTTGGCGATGCCCTTTAAGGCCAGGGCCAGCTGATGCTCATGATGCTCTCGCCGCGGGCCGGGCTCCTTCCGGACACTATTGGCTGATGCTCATGATGCCGTTGTTTTGGGTGGTGATGCCTTCCAGGCCAGGGCCAGCTAATGCCCATGATGCTGTCGGCGTGGCCTTGGCTTTTGGAGATGCCTTAAAGGCCAGGGCCAGCTGATGCTCATGATGCTCTCGCCGCGGGCCGGGCTCCTTCCGGACACTAGTGGCTGATGCTCACGATGCCGTTGTTTTGGGTGGTGATGCCTTCCAGGCGAGGGCCAGCTAATGCCCATGATGCTCTCGGCGTGGCCTTGGCTTTTGGAGATGCCTTTAAGGCCAGGGCCAGCTGATGCTCATGATGCTCTCGCCGCACTCCTTCCAGACACTAGTGGCTGATGCTCATGATGCCCTTGTTTTGGGTGGTGATGCCTTCCAGGCCAGGGCCAGCTAATGCCCATGATGCTCTCGGCGTGGCCTTGGCTTTTGGCGATGCCTTTGAGGCTTGGGCCAGCTGATCTTTAAGGCCAGGGCCAGCTGATGCTCATGATGCTCTCGCCGCGGGCCGGGCTCTTCCGGACACTAGTGGCTGATGCTCATGATTGGGTGGTGACCAGGACCAGCTAATGCCCATGATGCTCTCGGCGTGGCCTTGGCTTTTGGAGATGCCTTTAAGGCCAGGGCCAGCTGATGCTCATGACGCTCCCGCCGCGGGCCGGGCTCCTTCCGGACACTAGTGGCTGATGCTCATGATGCCGTTGTTTTGGGTGATGATGCCTTCCAGGCCAGGGCCAGCTAATTCCCATGATTCTCTCGACGTGGCCTTGGCTTTTTGCGATGCCTTTAAGGCCAGGGCCAGCTGATGCTCATGATGCTCTCGCCGCGGGCCGGGCTCCTTCCGGACACTAGTGGCTGATGCTCATGACGCCGTCGTTTTGGGTGGTGATGCCTTCCAGGCCAGGGCCAGCTAATGCCCATGATGCTCTCGGCGTGGCCTTGGCTTTTGGCGATGCCTTTAAGGCCAGGGCCAGCTGATGCTCATGATGCTCTCGCCGCGGGCCGGGCTCCTTCCGGACACTAGTGGCTGATGCTCATGACGCCGTCGTTTTGGGTGGTGATGCCTTCCAGGCCAGGGCCAGCTAATGCCCATGATGCTCTCGGCGTGTCCTTGGCTTTTGGCGATGCCTTTAAGGCCAGGGCCAGCTGATGCTCATGATGCTCTCGCCGTGGGCCGGGCTCCTTCCGGACACTAGTGGCTGATGCTCATGATGCCGTTGTTTTGGGTGGTGATGCCTTCCAGGCCAGTGGCCTTGGCTTTTGGCGATGCTTTTAAGGCCAGGGCCAGCTGATGCTCATGATGCTCTCGCCGCGGGCCGGGCTCCTTCCGGACACTAGTGGCTGATGCTCACGATGCCGTTGTTTTGGGTGGTGATGCCTTCCAGGCCAGGGCCAGCTAATGCCCATGATGCTCTCGGCGTGGCCTTGGCTTTTTGCGATGCCTTTAAGGCCAGGGCCAGCTGATGCTCATGATGCTCTCGCCGCGGGCCGGGCTCCTGCGGACACTAGTGGCTGATGCTCATGATGCCCTTGTTTTGGGTGGTGATGCCTTCCAGGCCAGGGCCAGCTGATGCTCATAATGTTTTTGTTCTTGTCGGTTTTGCGGGGTGGGACGGCCGAGGCTGCTGATTGTGGTGTGGTTGGCCTTGGTTTTTCCATACTGAATCGTCAATGTAGGGTTGCGGTGAGAGGGGCAGATAGGGAATGAAGTTGGCACGTGACGTAAATCACTGACTCCAAGGCAAACTTTGCTTGCAAACACCCTTTCCCTGGGATTGCATGAGCGGATTCTCTAATGGGTGGTTTTGATTAACAACGCGGGACGGCAGCCAAGCGCTCGAGGTGGTTGATCATAATGGGAGCTCTAACCGGCTTATTGCTTGTACTCAACTTAGAAGAGCCTCGCCATCCCCCCAAAAAAGGGCCGCCCGCAATTTGTCATTATTGCGATGTGATATAATTGTTTAGGCATCCAGCTCCTGGAGGGCGATCGGCAGAACCGGCCCGAGTGAATCTTTTGTTCCTCCGACATCCTCCGACCCCATTTATTCATGAAAGGTGAAGATCACGCTGCATGTAGGACGCCTGAGATCCGTGTGGTGGGTCCAGTGTAGTCAAAGGTGGAAGGAGATTCCGGAACAGCAGTATTTAGTACACCCAGTTCACATGACAAGTCTGTCCCAAGAGTCTATAAGTCCTCCACAAGGATACTGGAGCTGCTTTCGGCGATTGGCCATTTGCCATCTCACAGCCCCTCGGAGTACATACGTTGGTTTGTGTAGGAACCGTCGGCCCGCCTTTCCATTCTGATGGTACGCATGTGCCGGTCACGAGGTGTCGATGTGCCACACGTGCGTGTTGTGCACAAGTGCCCGCGATACGACCGCGGCTTTCAGGCACAAGGACTTGTCAGCTGTAAAAAGGGCACGTTGCTCTGCAGTGTAGGGATGCTCTAGTGCGCGCCCGTAGCACTGCCAAATTGGCAGCGGAGCGCTGGCGCCGCTCTAGTGACCATGGTGGCCAATTCCCGTTCGTGGCAACCGCGTCGTGGAAATGGCCAGCCTGTGAACGATGCCCCCGAGGCCGGGGTGGACCTTGATGTGCAGCCGACTCGGGCTGCGACACAGAATGAGCCCAATGGTGGCGAGGCTCGGGGAGAGACGGTGCCCGAGACCCCGCCGCAAGATCCGCTGGAAGGAGATGGGGACCCTTGGCGAGATGCAGCTGCGAGTGCCCCCTGGCAGGAACGAGCTTGGAATGACGACTGGCCCCGTGGAGCGGCCTCCTTCGACGCCTGGGGCCGCTATGATGATGTCTGGCGTGACGCCGGATGGTCGCAGGGGAGCTGGGACAGCAGAGGCTCATGGCCGGCCAGTGGCATCCTGAACAGCCGGCAGCTCAGGGACTTCCACACAGCGGACGTGCCCAAGATGGGCGCCTTCGGGGACTACACGTCCTTCGGGGGAGAGGTGCCGACTCGGCGCCAGAGCTGGGCCACGCACAGCCTCAGGGACGCCCAGTGGGAAGACAAGTGGCCCGCAGATGGAACTTCCTGGGATGGCGGTGCTTCCTGGGGAAAGGACCGCCCTACGGAGAAGCTGGCCGTGCCCGAGTTCGAGGGCACAGGGGCGGACGAGACCGAGGTCGGCAAGAGCGCGCGGAGCTACATCCGCAAGGTGCAGGTGTGGCTGCGCTGCACCAGGCTCCCTCCGGAGCAGCGGGCACTGGCTTTGTACAACGCCTTGACCGGCCGGGCCTGGATCTATGCCGAGGAGCTCAACATGGACGTGCTGGCGTCGCACCACGGGGTGGCCTACTACCTAGAGTGGGTGCAGACGAGATTCGCCGAGGTCGAGCTGCATAAGATTTCGCAGGTAATGGGGGATCTCTTCAAGCGCTGCCGACGCAAAGCTGAGCAGCCCATGCGGGACTTTATTGTCGAATTTGAAAGGCTGCTCCTCCGCCTGCAGGAGATCCAATGCGAGCTTCCGGGCCAAGTCAAGGCGTGGTTGTTCTTGGACAAACTGAAGTTGACCGAGAGCGAAGAGCTGGCCCTGCTGTCCAGCGTGGGCAACGAGTGGTGCGTGAAGAAGCTACAGCAAGCCGCCTTGCTGCAGGAGAAGACGTTGCGCCGAACGGCTGGAGGTGAGACCAAAGGCGGCTGGCGGAACGGAGGCCACGGCCGGTGGAGCAAGAACACCGTCCACATGACCGCCGTGGCCGAGGATGAGGACGAGAGCGACCCCGGGGACGAGCACGGCGGGGAGGAGTCCGAGACGGAGCTGGTGCCGGAGGACGTCGCAGCAGACCACCACACGGCGTTCGTGGCGTACCAGGCCGCAAAGGACCGCTACCGAGCAGCTACGCAGGGCCGGGGAACGGATCCGTCAGAGGTCAAACGCCGCGCGGAGGAACGCTTGAAGTTGGCCAAAAGCCGGTCCTTTTGCTCGGTCTGCAAGCGGAAAGGGCACTGGCACAAAGACGATGTGTGCCCTATGAAGGGCAAGGGGCCGCCGCCTCCGGCGGCATCGGCACCAAAGACGGCCCACGAGTGCCATGCGGTCACTGTCGTCTACATGGCCGCGTCCCTGACCGAAGCCCCCGGCGAGATCGGGCACACGACCCCTGAGGAGCACGGCCCGGCGATTCAGGACTTTGCCTTCCCGGCCCCTCTCGGCACCGAGTTCGGCAGTGCGACCCGGGACTTTGAGAACCAGCCGGCCGAGGGCACCCACCGGATCGAGCCCAACAGTGCGACCCGGGACTTTGAGAACCAGCCGGCCGAGGGCACCCACTTGACCGAGCCCGACAGTGCGACCCGGGATTTTGAGAACCAGGCGGCCGAGGGCTTCCACCCGATCGAGCTCGGCAGTGCGACCCGGGATTTTGAGAACCAGCTGGACGGCGAGCACGGCACGCCCCGGGTCACCGGCACCGTTTCTGTGTACATGGCGGGCGGCGACACATCTGGAAGGGCTGAGGCAACGAGCGGCCCACTCCTTGCGATCCTCGACACGGCCTGCTCGAAGACCGTCGCCGGCCACGACTGGTTCGAAGACTACTGCAAGATGGCCGACCGGGTCGGGTTCACGCCGGAGATCCTTGAGGAGGTGGACTTTTTCCGCTTCGGTGCCAGCCGCACGCACAAGTCGACTTTTGCACTTCGTGCTTGGTTTTCCCTGGCTGGGCGGATGTTTCAAACCTCGGTCGCCATTGTGCCTTGCCAGGTGCCGCTCCTGCTCAGCAGGGTGACGCTGGGAGAGCTCGGTCTTGTCTACGACCTTGCTAACCAGCGCGTATCGTTTTCGAAGTTGGGTTTGGAAGCGCTGCCCCTCGAGTACAGTTTGTCGGGGCATCCAGCCATCCCGATTGACCAGTTTTTGGGGAACAAACCTCCCGACGGCGACGGCCGGCGTGACCTACTCGTGTGGATGCCGGAGCAAGCATATATGGCGCATGGGGGTTTGCCGGGGAATGTGGCAGGGAAGGCTCAGGGCTTCAAGTCGGTGTTCTTCCCGAAGAAGGTAGCCCCCGAGGTTCGCGCCATGCTAGAGGGCACCTGGGTTTCAAACGGTGAGGGCTTTATGGCATGGTGGCGCCAAGCGGACCAATCTAGGGACTTTTGGGTCGAGACCTCCACCGAGTTGATCCGCGTGCACGTGACCCCCCGTAAGCACCTGTTCGTGCCCTCCCGTTGGTCGACTCAGTATAGTGACCTCAAGCAAGAACTGATGCAGACCCTGGGCGCCACTAGGACCACAGACTTTTTGCCTTGCCTTTGTGACGGAGCAGTGTTGCAGCATCGCACAGATCAGTGGAAGTCACCTTGTGAAGAACTTTCGTGCGGATTGTGGGTCGGCCGCAGCCGATTCTCCAAGGAGTGCGCTCAGCCTGCCCGTGCTCCTTTGCTCGCCCCCGCCGCGGTCGATGGCAGCGCCCCTGCCCTCGGTATGGAAGATGCGAAAGGCCGACATCCTGGTGGAGCTGAGGTCCTACGGGGTGGCCTGCCACGACAGCTGGCTGCTACCGGAAGTGCGGAACATCCTGCAGGAGCAGCGGAAGGCCCGAGCTCCGCCGGCCGAGGTCGACAACATGAAGGGGATCAGCAAGCTGTCGGTCGGGGAGCTGATCACACGATGCCAGGAGAACGGCATCACTCTGCCCACGAAGCCCACACGGGGAGCCCTGATAGCTCTCCTTCGCTCCTCGACGCAGGCACCCGGGAGCAGGGTCCTCACCTTCGGGAAGTTCAAAGGTTGGATGTACCAAGAGGTTCCGCCGGGATATTGCCAGTGGGCCCGGGAAGAGGTCGCGGCCAACCCGAATCACAGCCCGGATCTGGCTGCTTTCGCGTCCTGGGTGGCGGGCGAGGAGCTGAAGGTCCGGGAGAAGGCCGGGGCAGCAGCGACCAAGGAGATCGACAAGCTGGCCGACGACCCGGAGGCGAACCCGAAGGTGCCCGTCCCGACCGTGAAGGCGCTGACGCGGGGCTACGGAGCAAGCTCGGACGGCTCTTCCGGTTCCTGGGCCAAGGTCAGGGGGGCAGCCCCGAAGCGGGCAGTGATACGGCGCCGACGGGAGAGCGAGGAGAGCAGCGAGGAGCTGGAGACGGAGATCTCGGAAGAGGCCAGGCGGGAGATCGAGGAGGCCGAGGCCAAGCTGGCGGCGGTGAAGCAGAAGCACAAGGTGGCCCCCGGGCCCCCGGCCCGCAAGTGAACGACTATGCGCTGGAGGTTGGCAATGGCTCCGCCGAACAAGGTGGGCCCCCTCCGGCCGCTTATGAGCCCGGTGTGGCGCACAATTTTGATCCTGATGGACCCGCCGGCGAGCCGGTCTATATCACTGAGGCCTTCGAGGCAGAGACGGCCGACGAGGTTGAGGAGCCGAGCTTTGTGGAGAAGGCCGGCGAGTCCGAGGGCGAGAACCTCTCGAGGGAAGAGATCATGCGTCGGGCCCGTGCTGGGCAGCGCCGGCGCAGGACAGCAGCCCATGGGACTGGGAAGCGCATGAGAGAAGGGCTGCGTAAGGTGCTGAACGCAATGGTGTGTTACTGTACGGTGGCTTCCGCCCAATCGGCTGAGGTGTTGGCCGGACCAGCTCGTGACCTGTGGCAGGTGTTCCAGAGCCGGCACGCCACCCCGGACGACCGTGCCGACCTTCTCGAGATCTTCGCCGGGAAAGCTCTGGTCTCGCAGGCTGTGGCCCGGGCTCGCGGTGCCGCCTTGGAGCCCTTGGACCTGCGCTACGGCCACGACCTCCACGACCCAACGGTGCAGCAGGAGATCTTCGAGCGAATCGCCTTAGAGCAGCCTGGGTTGATCTGGGTGACCCCGCCGGCGACCATCCGGGCCACCACCGGAGACCACAGCAACCAGGCAGCACAGCATCGACGACGCGCCCGGGCACAAGACGAAGCGACCGCCGGGTTCTTGGACAAGTTGGTCAAACAGCAGATTGCTGCCCACCGCCACGTGGCTGTGCTAAACCCTCGTGCTTCTGAGCTTTGGCGCCACCCTACCGTCGAGGCTTGGAAGGACAACTTCGACCTCGAGTTTGCCGAGGTGGACCTGTTGGGGGCGACCACCGCCGGGGGAAAGCGCCAGCTCTCGGTACTGACCTCGTGCCGATCCCTCTGTCAGGCGATTGCTCCCGAGAGGGTAGCGCTAGGCGACCACGGCCCCGGCGTCGCCCCGCACGCCTTCGCAAAGATTGTGGCCCGCGTGGCAGTCGAGCTGAGAAGCTCCCGGGCACAAGAGGTGCTGGCAGCCGAGGGCGGCCAGGGTTCGAGTTCGGCGGCTCCCGACGGCGAGGACAAGGCCCCTGAGGAGCCCATCGGTGCCAACAGCATCTCCTTCAAGGGCAAGGTCAACCCGGCAGTGGCGCAGATCCTCAAGAGGCTCCATCAAAACCTGGGGCACCCCCCAAACCGAGAGTTGATTCGGCACCTTCGTGTGGGAGGGGCCAGCCCGGCCCTGGTACAAGCCGCTGAGCAGTTGGTTTGCAGGACCTGCGACCGCAGCACCAAGGCCAAGCTTCCCAGAATCGCCAAGCCGGTGATGGCGCTCGACTTCGGCGAGGTGTTGGCTATCGACGTGATTTGGCTGGAGGCTGCAGACAGTGAAGGTGCCGACATCCCTGCCCTTAATATGGTGGACGTGGCCTCGACCTACCAGGTGGTCTACCCTATGGACGGCACCAAGTCGGAGGATGCCGTGCGTGCATTCCTTGGGGGCTGGGTCAGCTGGGCCGGGGCACCTCGCTTCCTCATCGCCGACCTCGACTCCGCCTTCAAGGACCAGTTCCTCGACTACCTGAACACCCAGGCGATCCACATACGCTGTGCCGCGGGCCAGGCTCATTGGCAGAATTCGGTGGCAGAGCGCCAAGGAGAGAGCTGGAAGGCCGTGTGGAAGAAGCACGTGGAGGCCAACGTCATCCTGAAGGACGAAGCCGCCGAGACCATGGCGGCGATCAACTCCGCCAAGAACGGCCTCAGGAACCGATCGGGCTACTCTCCTCGACAATGGGTGTTCGGGTCGAACGAGCGCCTCCCGGGGGACCCTTTCGATGCACCGGAGGAGGACAGCGTCCGCGACCTGGCCACGATCGACAGCAAGTTCGCCCGCAAGCAGGCCATACGACTCGGGGCCCGAGCCGCCTTTTGTGAAGTACAGGCAGCCGACACTTTGAGACGGGCGGCGGCCCACAAACCGAGGGTCGAAGGTCTGCCCCTGGAGCCCGGGTCGCTTGTGTACGTGTATCGCAACGTGCGGCCCGGGAAGGGAAAGAAGCCAGCACCGACTTGGCTTGGGCCCGCCACGGTGCTCGGGCGCGAAGGGTCGAACTACTGGACCTCCCGCGGTGGTCGTTGCATGTTGGTGGCCGCGGAACATGTCCGGGAAGCCCACCACGAAGAGGTGAACGAGTTCCTCAGGCTCAAGATCGCAATGAAGGAGATCGAGGACTACATCCGCCGCGACACGGAGCCATCGGAGGACCCCATCGGCACGGACGCCTGGGATGACGCAGGAGCTCCGGGACCCGGGCAGGGCGGCACGGGCGACATAGAGATGGACGCGCCCCCAGAGCCAGATCCCAGAATCGAGGCCGCCGCCGAGCAAGAGGATCGCATTGCACGGGCCAACCGCCGGAGGACGATGCTTGACGACGTCCCGGCCAACTTCAAGAAGCCTAAGACTGCACTCATGGCGGCCCACCGGAAGTCAGAGAAGGGCAAGGCCAAGCAGCTGGAAAAGGAGCTGCCTTGGGGCCAGATCCCTCCGGACGAGAGGGGCCTCTATGTGGAAGCCGAGCTGAAACAATGGCGCGAGCACGTGGACTTTGGCGCGGTCCGCCCCCTCAGCTTGGAGGAGAGCCGCCGTGTGGAAGCCGAAGTGGACCCGTCCCGGATCCTCAACGCCCGGTTCGCCTATAAGGACAAGAACCACGCCAAGCGCAAGCAGGACAGCTCGCTTCCTCCTCGCCCTAAGGCCCGGCTTTGTGTTGCTGGCCACAGAGATCCCGACCTAGGCGTCCTCGACATGGCGACGGAGGCCCCCACGGCAAACAGGCACAGCGTGTTGCTGGCTCTTCAGCTGGGGCTTGCTCGCGAGTGGCGCGTCTCCGTGGGAGATGTGCGAGCAGCTTTCCTCAATGGGGTCCCGGCCCCGCGCCGCCTCTTCTTTCGCCAGCCGGTTCGGGGGATACCTTCTTTGGAGAAGGGGCAGCTGGTCGAGATCGTGAAGGGGGTGTTCGGTTTGGCAACGAGCCCCAAGCTGTGGTGGCTTAAGCTTTCGGGCGACCTTAAGGAGTTCAAGGTGGACGGCCCCGACGAGGAGATCTTCATAAAGCAGAACCCCATCGACCCGTGCGTGTTCATGCTCATGGGCAGCAAGAGCAAGAAGGTCCGAGGACTGCTCCTGACCCACGTCGACGACCTGCTGCTGCTAACAGAGGAACAGCTACGGCTTCCGGTGCAGGGCAAGCTGAAGGAGATGTTCCCCGTCGACGACTGGGAGGACGACACCTTCGACTACGTCGGCTGCGAGTACCACTGCACCCCGGAGGCGGTGTCCATCAAGCAGGTGTCCTACTGCCAGAGCCGTGTGGACAAAGTGTCCCTAGAAGGCGGTGCCGCCGACGATATGGAGGCGACCCCGCTGCAGGTGGAAGAAAACCGGACGGCGATTGGGAGTGTGTCCTGGCTTGCCAAGATGACGCGGCCCGACCTTCAGTTTCAGGTGTCGCAAGCTCAGAAGCGCCAGAACAAGCCCACCGTCAAGGACCTCAAGGACACCAACAAGCTGGTGGACGCGGCCCTGGCTAACAGCGAAAGGGGACTGCTACTTAAAAGGGTGGCCGAGGAGAATCTGACCCTCCTGGCCTTCCACGACGCAGCCTGGGGAAACGTCCATGGCGAGAACGGGGAGGCTCATGATGAACAATGGCTGGGCGAACACACGCTGTCCTCCCAGCTGGCTTCCCTGGTGTTGGTGTGCGACCGGCACTGCCTAGAAGGGCGTGAGGCTCCCTTCGGAGTCGTTGAGTGGAAGAGCAAGGCCAGCCAACGGGTTTGCAGGTCCACGTTCGCCGGGGAGACCATGGCTTGCAGCGACGCCCTGGAGGCAGCGGTGTTTCTGCGAGGGCTGTTGGTCAGCATGATGCTGGGCCAGCAGGTGCCCGAGGACTCGTGCGGGGAGCACCTCGAGATCCACATGGTGACAGACTGCAAGAGCCTCTACGATCACATCCAGCGCGAGGGCACCCCGAAGGCACCGACAGAGAAGCGCCTGGCCCTCGACTTGGCCAGCATCCGACAGCTCTTGATCACAGAGGCCAAGCACCAGTGGGTCCGAAGATATGGGTGCGCCTGTGATCCTTCCCCGGAGCGCCCTGTGCGACCTCCACTACACTGGGCGCCCACGACGGAGCAGTTGGCAGACGTGCTCACCAAGCGGATGCGGCCTGATCTGTTTTGGGCTACTCTGGACCGAGGAGTGCTGGCTCTGCCTTTTCGTGCACAGTCGGGCAGGTCTGGAGCGCCAAGGCTTTCAAAGCCGCTTCCAGATGAAAAGGATCTGGAAGACTTTTGACACCAGTGTCGATGTGCCACACGTGCGTGTTGTGCACAAGTGCCCGCGATACGACCGCGGCTTTCAGGCACAAGGACTTGTCAGCTGTAAAAAGGGCACGTTGCTCTGCAGTGTAGGGATGCTCTAGTGCGCGCCCGTAGCACTGCCAAACGAGGTTGCAGCTGCTGCATCTTTTGCAGGGCATCGTCCTAAACATTGGTCCCACATGATAGTTGTGATTCTGGGGTTGCGAGGCGCGGGCAACGGGAACACTTCAAGCTGTTGGTTTGCCACCAATATGCCTCGCATTGTCGGTTGTGGATAAGGGGTCACAGTCGACGGCCGCACCTTCCTGTACCTGCACTTATCTTGCTCTCGCAAAGTTGTATTTGTACCCCGGATGATCTTTTTCACAACTTCGACAGGACTTATTGGCTTGTCTTACCCTTACACCCGTCTAAGCAGCCCGTAGATTCCGTAGATGCCCTCGCGGTCATAAAATGCCTTAGTTGTACAAGTGCTGATACTTGCGACCACGGGATAACAGTCGTTATCACTGGATCCCGCCACTTGGTAATTGGGGTTCATAGAACTACCGACCCATACCAACCCCTGCATCCATCCAGTTCTCGACATAAAGAACTCTGGCGCTACATAACGGAAGCCTGTCAGGCCCGTAAAAAACCATCTAGACGCACCTACACCCTAAGCCAGACTTTCAGATCTCTCGGATTGCAAAACTCACTGGAAGCAGCTCCAGGAAGCCCCTGGGTGATTCTGAGCAGTCTGCAGCAGAGGTGGCGGTAGCTTTGTGCCTCGCAGGAGTCAGCCTGGTATGCGAGACGCGGTAATTACTGTGGTGGTGGAGTTCAGTGGGATGCAGGGGAAGATGAAGATGTCCTGCGAACCCCGTCGCAACCATCCAAACGGTAGCTGGTAGCCCTTCGACTGGAAAGTTTCCGTCTTCTCGGGGGGACCAGGTTGCAGTGACAATCGCTGCCGAAGAACAAAATGCGCTGCAGGAAGCTCGACCGTGAATTCCTCGGTAGTCTCGTCTTATCTGACGCTCCTCCTACAGAATCCGCTGTGGGTCGTAAGTTGGAACCCAGCGGAGGCCTCAAACTCGAGACCCCCACATGAGCCATACCCGCCAAAGTTTAGGCAAGCTTTTCCGACCCTTGAAACCGAAAAGTGTTTTTCTCCAGGCTATCCTCCAGTAAGCGTAGTTTTGACCGTGCCAATATATCGTACACACCTTATATATGTGCATATGTTGTTGCATGTATGTATACATGCATCTTGATATAATATGTCTTTGTGTATGGATGTCTACGAACAACTCACGAATCGCTCAAAGTCCACATAAGTCTATATAGGTTCCGAAGGGCTCTCACCTCCAGGACCTCCGGGCACGAAGGACTATTGACTCATCTGCGCACAGAGCATATTCGCAACTCGGGTTTGAGCTTCAGGGCTTATGGTTCAGAGTGAAGGATGCGGTCTTGACGGAAACACATAGGCATTTTTTGTGGAGGTGCATTGGCGAGAGGCGCAGAAATCTCCCGAAATGCTGTGCAGCACTGGAACAGGGATCTCAGTCGGCCCCTACTGCCGCAAATTTAACTTTGCATGTAGTCTCCACGTACACCAGCCCTCAAATCCAAGAACTTAAGGTTCGAATCAGGACTGAGGAACACCAAAACGGCCTTGGGGTGTATGTAGTGTTTGGATTCAGCGAACTACCCCTCACATTTTGCTCGCGTGGGGTATGGTCGTGCCAGATTCGCGCAGGCTCAAAGAGTACGCAACTTTTCTTTGCCCCCATATTCCAGGTTTTGGGAAAGATGTGAAAATTGTCATGCCAAAGTCCATCCTGGGGCAGAGCTCTATGTGAAGAAGATGCGTGAGACAGACTGCACCGTGAACCATTCGCTTGCGATAGCTTACCTTGGACTATTCCTTAACATACGCGGGCAAACACCATGGTTTGAAATCTTACAGTGCCTCAGAATGTAGTCTAGACCCCAGCGTCCGCAACAAATCCGGCAATCTCGCCTGTCTGCGTGGTTCCCGAAACTGGCGTCTATACGGGGTTTGGCCAATTCTGATGTGTACTTTCCCTGCTGATGTGTGTTCTCCGTAAACTGGCCCTTGCAGGCATTGATGTGTATTCTCGCCAGCTTATGTGAGACAACCCCATTAACAAGTATTGTAATTGTCCAGCCAGAGAGGCCAACGTCGGTTTGAACTCGTGGTTTTCAAGTGGTGTCTCCGAACTTGCAGCCATTGGAGAAACGACGTCATCAGAGACGATCCGGTCCTGGAGCAGTTGCCGAACTACGGCCTCTCAGTGCTTAAATACCAGCAGCTCGACTTTTGAAGCAACAAAGCAACTAAACAGCCAACAAATTAGCTTTAACTCCCCCATGACTTAATTCCTTCATTAATTGTTGATCAGAGTGTTCACTTGGTGCGCCTCTGTGTGCGTGTATGGTAAGCCAAATCTATCCCCGGCGCATCCGCGAACCCCAAAAAACAAAAACATCCACATTGCCAGTCGCATCAATGTCACCCCTGTCCACCCCAACCGAAGCTGGGTGGTTCCTGGTGGCTGTGCTGTCTGCTTGATCGGCTGGTTTGACGCACGTGCTGCCTGCGCTTGCCGGACTTTTTACAGTCCTTCGCACCAATTGTTGTGACTGCACTTTTGCGGCAAGGAGATCACTGCTGCCACATTGCTTTGATGCCTGAAGGTGTCTTGCTCTTGTTGTTCGATTCTGCACAGCCGCGGCATTAGGGTCTAGAGTTGTGACCTACATATTTCATGGAAGGCCACTGCACAGCGGTTCTCGAGAAGTATGGAGCAGCGTTGGACAATTCAGCTTGCAGACATTCTCAGCGTGGTTGCCTCAATACGGCTCTTCGGGCACGGGGTCTGAGGGTTTCGGTCTAGGTCTATTTCACGGATGATCGGATGTTGCAGTCCTGTGCGATGGCTACTGCAGAAGTCGGCTGCATGGTGCAAGCGCCCAGCGCTTGTAGATGAGAAGGCCAAGTGCTCGCTCCTTTGTAAGATGCATGTCCTGAGTCATCAACAGTTGTCACAGAAATAGCCCATGATAATCCTTTTTGAGCGAATACTAGACACACTCCGAAATCCAGACCAATGCTCAAGCCTCTGCAGTCTGCTTTTTGGCACGTGTTGTGAAAGGTGCCAAGGCAAATCAATCATGCACGTTGTGCAGGAAGACAGGTTGCAGTCGTGGAGGGGGAACCTCACACCGAAATGGCGTCCTGAATCTTTCAGCTGCCTCTTGCTCACAACGCCAAACCTACCCCCTGCCACTGGGAAGTGCCTTTAGTTCGGCTTGTAGCTGAGGTTGACGTCGATTTTGGAGTTGCAGGTTTGGTGGTGAAGCTAATGATCCGGGTGCACGGCTGGCTTCACCGGTCCACCGTAGCGGTATTTCGGCCAAGCAGAAGGAAAGAGCCTACACGAAAACGAATTGCAGGAGCAGCCGCCGGCGTGCCGTTGCGAAATCTGCGCCCGGGCCACTGCGTTTCTGGCCTCGCCTCAGGACCCGAGTCGGCCTTGTCGGGTCTTGCAGCATTGGGCTTAAGTCTAAGGGGCCTTAGAGCTCCGCAACCCCAAAAGACCCAGCCAATCCCAAGCGCCCTATTACAACAAACCCGAACTCCTGATCCATAATACTACACCCGAATCTCCAAAACCCCCTCACTTGCAGGGGGTGGAGTGCTTGGGCGCTGCCTGTGGGGACCCGGAGACTTGCCTGGCTGAATGTAAGGCTTCAGGTGTTGCAGGGCTTTTAAATTAGGTTCAGGGTGTAGACTTCTCTCAAAGTAAACACTCAATATGCTTGTCGTTCGATCGCGCAGCCACACATTCTTTGCCGCAAGCGTTAAGCTTTGAGCATTATTAAGCCTTGTCAATCGTGCAGATGCCGCAGACGAGCCATAGCTTACCCTCCTTAGTCATTCCATCTCACGTACTCGTACTTGCAGGTGTAAGACCAAAGCAGCCAGACAACTGAAGAGACATTTCACCGTACCACGTTGCAAGTGGGCCCGATAACTGTCAAGTTAGATCCTGAGCAAAACCGCAAGTCCAGCTTAAAAGAGCAGATGTTGCAAGAATACTTATGCCCACACACGACGGACCATCAAGCTTGAGTACGATATGCATGCATTGAACGATTTTCGACCGGTAAATGCCATAACGAGCCTTAAGATTGAACATTTCAGCAATTTAGGAGATCCTTGGCCGGCTATCTCTCTGCAGCCGGACGCAGCTACAGACGGTGCAAGCTGCTGACTTCCTCGCGAGACGCGCGGCAAAGCCGGCATGGTTTGCACACTTAGGGCTACTATGAGATATGCTCGCAGCTGCTGCTACTGCTATCGGCGCGACTTCTGTTGCAACTGCAGCCCGTATTGCCCCAATGCCAAAACTCAACACCACAAATTACCGCAATGATGAATGAGTCATAGTTCGGCTCGCTGTCAAATACGGTTTGTCATGAACAAAACTACCACTGTTTTAGTATTTCGCATGCTTGGCACGATCTTGAGCGAACGTGGTCCTTGTTTCTTTCGAAAAAATTAATTGAATTTCAATTTTTTGCAGATTGTCTTTGGAAAAGCTGTGTTTTACAGCTTTCCAGTTGCTCAAGCCTCCTACACGCCCTATTCTGTTCCTTTGCCGGTGGCCTCTTCCTCGGCCCCCCGCCGCCTTCGGGGAATCTATTTTTCAGTTTGCTGAAAACCCAACAAAGCTTTTTTCAATTTCCTGGAAATGGAGAATCGTGACTTCCGAAGTAAATGATCCACGGAAGCAGTTTTTCCTTGCATATGAAAAGTTGTAAACCTAGAAGGTGGAGATGAGCGCCGAGAACAAAGGTCTGGATTTGTTCCGCGTAGGGCTCGCTTGGAGGTAGATGTCGGGATCCAGCTGGAAGCGCCACCTGTGCGGCTGGAGCAGCTAGCCTTTGCCGTGGCCGTGGCGCCACTCTGCAACACCTTTGAAAATCACATCTACTTCAGCTGCTTGGCGATGCAGAGATTTGCGACTTGCTCCTTTTCGAGTGTGAGAATCTGAAACACTTCAAGAAGCACCCTCCCTAAGCCACTGAACCCACAAGTGCTGCGGTCGTTTATCTGGGAGACTTTGCAAAGTTCCATGAGTCATCACCCTAATGTACCGGACTGGCTTCGGGGTGCTGGGACCCCACCCTCCGGTTTTGGTGAAACTGAAGCACCCCACGTCCGAACTACAGGTCCAGGTCCCTTCAAGCTGTATAGTGATAGTGTTTGACTTGGGTTCCCTTTGAATCCGGCAGCCCAGCCCGAACCCCGAAACTCCGAAGGGGCCGATCACTTCTGCATGTAAGGCGCAAGGTCCTGTTGGGCCAAAACCAAACCCTTCGACTGAGACGGCAAGCAAACCTGAACCGAGCGCGATTCCAGGCTATGGCGGCGGGTCCCAGCTACAAGGTGGGAGAAATCCCACAAGTTGCAAATCGGAATTCAGCTCCGCAAGGCTAAGGTTGAGGAATTTGTAGAGGTTTACTGAGTTGAGCCTCCTCGTTGCTTTGGGGTGCTTGGGCTGCTCACAGGGTTGGGAGATGTTGGGGGTTTGGTTTCAAGGTTCCGAATCAGCTCCTCCATATTTCTTCCCAGGTTTTGGCTCCACCTGTTCATACTTACATGCAGGGTTGTGAGACTCTGTGGAGCTCAACTGATCGCTGTGTGCTTTCGTGTTCGCTGTGCATTCAAAGCCTGCATCTGACTCCTGGTTGCTATGTGATCGGCTTGGCTCGCTCCGATCGAAAATCTCGGGGTTCGATTTCGGTCGTCCCAACTCGTCGATGTGTGATCAGGGCAAAATCTGCCATCGGATTGCGGCGGATGCGGGGTTCTCACCCTGGATGACATTGCCCATCTGCGCTTGGATCATCGATTTCGAAAGACTCTGACAGAGTACGCCGAGTATGCATCCCCGATCTGGTTTCGGGGCCCGACGAATTCGGTGGCCCTCAGTGCAATGCGATCATGGGTTTGGTAGTGCCCAAATCGGTGAGTCTGGATTTCATGCCGGGCATGAAACCTATGATCGGGACGACGAATGGACGACGAATTTCCAGCCGTTCTTCATGGATATCGGTCAAACATCTGTGAGCTCCCGGGTCACATGCAGAGGCCCGACGCTCAGCCATGGAGGATGCAAAAAACAACCTCTACGTGCTCACGCGTCTACGTAAGAATCCATAAGGCAAAGCTCAGACACTGTGCCCTAAATTCTTCAGCCTGAACCCGAATCCGAATCCTCCCCCTCCGATCTTTGGACCTGAGCCGTCAAATCGAGAATCTCGGATGCAGGCCCGGCGCTTCCCTTCTTGGCCAGGGCAGCCGCCCTTGCACGGAGGTTCCCGCTCCCAGGCCGCAGAGTCGGCTCAAGACTTGAGTTAGGCTGAAGGAAGGCTTGGCAGAGTGGTTGCAACCTCCCCCCTGAAACCTTGCAGCCTTGCAGTTCTGATGCCCAAGGCGTCTCGGCTCCTGTAGCAGGACCTCGTCGGAGCTTTGGGGTTTGAGCTGTTGAGGAGCGATATTAGCCCCAGGAATGTAGGATTGTTTGTTACGCCTCGGGACTCAGGTCACAAGTTTACGGCAAGTTCCTGGTTTTGCAGTTGAGCCCCGAAGTTTCAGTGTGTCTTGTCGGGACTTGCACGTCGATTCTTGAAGGTCACATCTCAGGTGGTCCCTTCCGATGTCTGATCGTCTGTCAAAGAGAGGCCGCCGGCTAATGATCAGGTCTTCAGGCGTAGACCATGAACCCTGGAATTCGGGGTTCGAGCCCTCCTTATAGATGCCTGCAGTTTTCCGTTAAGCACAGAAGCTCAAACACTCTACCCGAAGCTACACCAGATCGGTGGCCCGAGGCGAGTTATGGTTCACATCGACGCCCATGCAGGAGCTCGGCCTGGCCCACACCAGGGTTTAACAAAACGTCTGAAGCTGCGATTTTCCTATCATTCCGCAGCCACAGCAGCTGGCTCAGTACTGGAAGCGCTCGAAGTAGCACGGCGGATAATCGTTGGATTCGCTCCTTGTCCTTGTCCTTGTTGTTGTGGCTGCTACCCGATCCTACTCTCAAACCTACCACCTACTCCCTACGTCCTCCCCCTACGGCTGCTGCTACTGCCACGTCTACTGCTACGGCTACTGCTGTTGCTACAACAACTACTGCCACTCCTACTACTACTACCACTACTACTACTGCTACTGCTACTGCTACAACAACAACTACACGATTCGAACTTCCGAAGACCCCGGAAGCCCGGAATTCCTTCGCCAGGCGTTAGAGCGCCAGGGAGGCTTGTAGCAAAGCGGACCTCGCAGGCAGCCTCGCTGGTGGCCTTAGGAGTTGAGGGTCGAGAATGAATTTGATGCATTGCAGGGTCAACGGTCTAGGGTTCAAGATGACATGTCTAACAGTAAGGTTTACAGTGTTTCACAGGGATGGTGCTCGATTCACAGGACGATGAGTGCGGGGTTGTGCTGCTTTCGCACTGCAGGTTTTGGGTTTTGTCCTGTGTCCGAAGATGTTGCGTCTTTGCTCCTGCATCGGGTTTGGGGATCAGTGGGTTCAGTCGAAATATCGTCTGGGGACACATTGTTGGGATGCGGTTCCAAGGGCTTCAGCGGCGTCTACAGGGCAGTATGTATACAGCCTGGCTTGCCACGAAGGTCTGCGCAACCCCCATGCAAAGAAGCCACACGGCACGTCCGGGAAAACCTTCCACCCCAGGGCCCCAGGGCTTCACTCCTTGTGAGGCTCGCGCCAAAGCCGTCATGAAAGAGTTACTGGCGCAGGGCCTCCCAGCACCTCGCCCTGAGAAGCTTCAAAGGTCCGGAACATTCGGAACGTAACTTCAAGATACTTACGCAGGCTCATCCCTGCTCCTGCTAATCATAAGTCCTTGAAATCTTGTCAGCGGCCTGATGGTGATTATGATGTTGCGTGAGCTTCGAACTCGGCTCCCTGCATCTCGGGCCAACGGCAACTTTCTGCTCAGACTGAACCCTGGGGCATGCATCTCGATACCGGCCTGTTCTCTGGGAGTGTTCGCGCAATGGCTAGCAGGCTCCGGAGTCCTTGAGTTTTCTGAACTGAAGCCGCCAAAGTTCTAATACGACCTTAGCATACACCCAAGCAGACAGTCCCGATATGGACAACCCAACCCGGAGCCTTACTTCTGTAGCGTCTAAATCCTGGAAGTGCAGCCCACCGAGGAGAAGCAGGTCAGCTTCACTGCCTGGGGCAGGCTTGGTGGGAGCAAGCGTTCGCACACGCAATGCTCATGCCAGTTCCAGTCCCGCCACCCCGAACAAGCTAGGCCATCTGAGCACTTGAGACAAGGACTTAGATTGCATATGCCTGTGCTTTCTGGAAGAAACGTTCTTCCCGGCAGCGTAGCCAGCCGGAAAGCCGAGCTGCAACAGTCTCCTGTCTCGGTGGGACGAGGGCCGTAAATGTCAAACTTCTCCCCTTGTTGTTGGCTCAAAAGTTTGTGTTATAGCGGCCTTTCAATATCCATAATCTCTGCAGTAAGTCACCCGATGGCACAGCGACGGGCTGGATCTGGTGTCGAGAAGCGTAAGCCAGTCAAGCAGACGGAGCTTTGCGCATTCTTCCCACAGGGGAGATGTACCCGCGGGAATCGTTGCAATTTCGCCCACGGCATCGCAGAGCTGCGCCCACGTCCAGACCTCTATAAGACAAGGCTTTGCTCCTCTTACACTCTGTGGCAGCAGTGTCCCTACGGCGAAGACTGTACTCATGCCCACGGTCAAGAGGAACTGCGATCAGTCGCAGTCTTTCCAGATTTGGAGATGCAGCGGCCGGGCGACAATGACAGCAAGGAGACATTCGCGAAAGCATCTGCGGTTTGTGATTCTGAGCTGTCGGTGTCGTCGGCGGTAAACCAATTTGGTTTGCCAGACCCGCACGAAAGTCCAATGATGTCCTTCGACTACGACTCACCTCTTGACAGCGATAGCTGTCATCCAATCACGACTCCAAGTGACTACAAGCCACCCTGGAGAAGCATACTGCATCAGATGCAGTCCACTCCGTACCACATGCAGACGCTCGATTTCTGGGCTCACGGTCACGGGGAAGTCCTGAGTTTGTAG